TTATAGTAATTAGCGAACCTCACTCTTCTACGATATCTTTATTATAAAACTAGTTTAATTTAAAATACAATAAAAAAGCTAAATTCACTTTAAGCGAAAATTCGATAAAACTCATACGGGAACATCTCGAATAAAAAAAGGATTTTGAAAATCTGTCTACAATTCAGACAGACGGACAACGGAATCTTATTATTAGAGTCCCATTTTCACCGCTTGACACGGAACCTTAGAAATACATATCCATCGAATATAAAACCTCCTTCTTTTCGATTTTAAAATAAGTAAAAAATCGTCAGTGCATTAAATTCCCTCGCAATATTCTTTTTAATACTATATTTGTCACGATAATGAGGCGTATGTATACGTTCTACGCATACGCATTCAAAAAATATAGCCCTGTAACAGACTAGAAGACGAACAGACAGAGCTGAGAAATTTTGAGGCTGAGCATACACAATGGTAGCAATTCTCTTACACAGACTAGACTAAATTTACTATTAATCAGTATAAATTAATAATTATATTTTTTAGTTTCATTTCTTCCAAAATTATATTTTTATATTTTGCAAGTTCTTTTCAAATAATGATCTTATAATCACCTTTTTTTATAAGATTCCCTAATTTTATCCTACAGGATTTCTAAAAACGGCAGCCTCATTTAAAACAAATTAAATCAACCAATGTAACGAAATGCGTGGGAGTAATATTTGTAATTAATATATAAACAGTCCGTTTTACGACACTGTAGTACGTAGGATGGGTGGCGGGCGGACGTGACACCTAGTGACCATAGTTGACCATGATGATATTGTGAAATCATAATCTTTATCGTAGCATAAATGGGTATTTAAATAACAAGTTTTAAATGGCCATTGACTTTGGTCTGAAAAAGCAATGTTTTAAGAACTGCTGGATTGAGATGATTCAAGATTTGTAGATAAATAAAAACTTATTTTTCCTCGATTAATTTGGAACTGCATCTCCCCAATTACGAGTATATAACGTTATTTTCTAAACCTACTTTTTTATGACATTACTATAGATAGGTATATAATATTTTCCTATTTCCGCAGCTATTTTGTTTTTAACCGACTTCAAACCAAGAAGGTGGAGGGAGGTTCTCAATTCGTTTGTAATTATTTGCAATAACTTCATACAATAATGTAGCTTTCAACTACCTGTCGTCGCTACCTATGGAAGTAAGTGATGTGAACATTAAGTTAAGTACCATTTCGTTTATGATAATTTTTATCTATTACAAAAATTTCGCCTAATATGTTACTCAGTTACTTACTAAACATTTAAATTAAACTTCAATGATAATGCCAATAGGCAGCAACTTATAAAGACACTAATCCGTTTTCACTAATTTGTTGCCCAACTATTTAGGAATTAAAAAAGTGCATCCTAATGACATTAAGCAACGGCTTAGGTCACGATATGTGTTATGTGGCGCCTAGCACTAGGTATTTCCTTGTTACGACAAATATTTCAAGGAATAAAAGAAAAAATGTTTACTTGGAATTAAACTAATCTGCTTAAGCGATTCGTAAAATAAGGCGTTTCCTAGTTAAGCTATGCCTTGCTCTAGGTTAGTGAAAACGGATGTAAAATGCGAAATGTTGTCTAAATCATGATTATTTTGTGATAGGTATTGTTTAACGTTATTAGGCAGACTGCTTATTCCCTTGGCCTTTGATTTTTATAATGAACTGAACTATAATGTAAATGAACGTTGTCTTGTATTAATTGAATTCTCATTCCATCTAATTAATCCAAAAATATTTCTTAATCATACCACGTTCATGATTTCTTTCAACAAAGAGTTTAAATGAAATATGACTCCTTCTCTTTATTTATGAACGCTGATGCTTTTTGTTTTTTATTACTCACCGTAAAGGGTTCCTCACAAAAAACGTTCCGCTTGTTATTTTGAACAGACGTAGTTCACACCTTCTGTTCTCCTATTCACATTCTATTATTGAGTCCAACTCGAATAATCCTTGACACTAAACTTATATCACGAATTCAACAGTCACAGTTCTAAACACAGAAAGTGGTTATAAACAATGTTTCTAGTAGGTGATTCTTATTTTTTATTAATAAAACTATAAATAAAAATACTTTTTCCTTGGAAACTACTACTAGACACACAAATAGAAAAAATGTAGATCACACTTAGGATGTATTGCAATATTTCCATAAACACTCCAGAGAATTTAAAAAAAAGTTTTCCCGCCAGATATTTTTTTTACAAGCGTGGCGCGATAAACCGGAGCAGCGAGGCAACGCGCGTCCAACCACGAGTAAAGCCGGTTGGGCGATGTAGACGTTTTATTTTGAACTGAACAAGACCGCGCTTGGCTTCCAAGACGCGTAGAGCCAACCTCCCTGGTTATAAGGACACGCACGTTATATTGTTTCTGGATCTGTGCCGACATATAAAAAACTAATGAGATTGCAAACAATAAAATATTTATAAAAATTCTTTAAAGATTATTTTTTCTTTTTTCATTATAATAAATAAGTAATAATATTTAATTGTATAAAATATGAGTTATTACTTATTAGTCATGCAATAATATGTATAATTTATGTTACCAATAACATTTTATCAGTAAAGACATCGACGCGCTCAAAATATTTTTCGTTGAAATTTTGTTTATGATCTTGATCCGATGATTGCTCATCATAACTATCATATTATTATGTATCGCAAGCCCAGTATACACAGATTGGTGGCTTTTAACAAGTTTCTTTATGGTTTTAACGACTGCACATGCGGCATAACTAACATGCTTTTCGAAGTACAGAAGGGAAGACCACGAAATAATATGTATTGGTCATAAAGGCAACGAAATTAATATTCTGTTACAAGAACATCCTCGAACAAGACCGCACACAGTACACTAATTCCTAAAGATTTTATATCTAAACTCTCCTAGTGCTCCGTCTATGTTCGACATTTCAAGGCCGTTTTTAACAGAATAGCATAGTACCTAAGCCAGTGGATGAGGCAGATAGTAACGACTTGTCGTAATCCGCGGCAAAGCGTCAAAATTATGTTTATCTCTCAGGCTCGCATACTGTAATCAATCTAGATATGATTAGAAAAAGAAATTAATAAATGATGAATTAGATTGATACCTTTTTGCAGAAATAAATTCACCGTATGTGGTTTTGATAAACTGTAATTAAAGACGAGATAACTGCAGTACAAGTCTGATTTTAAGGCGAGTTTGAAATTACGACTTTTAACCAATTTTATTCTAAATATAGCCTTAGAATAAAATTGTTTTAGATTTGCCAAATAAAAATCATTTTATGTAAATTCAACATATGATAGATTGTTTGCTTAAACAGAAAATTTAATTTCAATAATTGGCTGGATAAAAGAGATCGCAAGGACGACTCTAATATTTCATCTTAACTATATAAAAAATATATACAAAAATAGGTTTTCATATAATCTAAAATATATTTAAAAGAAATTTATTTCAAAACTGCATTTTTTTCCTGTGATTAAAATTATATGAAATCAAGCGAGAGCGTCTTTACTCTCGATGCGTATTTGTAGAAATATAAATACTATAGCAGCGCAATATAGTCATTGGGTATGTTCCGATATATACTGCGAGCACTGCGCAGTGGTCTTACTGCTGAAAAATCCGTTCCGTTATAGACTGCCAGTATCTACACTGCTACAGTACCCTAGGGAAATTCATGACGTCATAAATTATCGTCGTCACAAATTTGAAAATGGCGCCAAAAAATAGGATTAACAGTATACTGGACTGCGTTCCGTTTTAAAAAGTTACCAGTATAACTAGCTATAAAGAAACGGGCTTCCAGTATACTAAATTGACGTCATACTGTTCAGTGGTCGCAGTGTATATCGGAACATACCCATAAAATAGTAGTAGAAGCGTTCGTGTGTTGTACTAGCGACCTCTAGTTCGATTTCGAGAACTACTTTTTCAATCTACTGACTTCACTTTGGAATTGACTGGTAAACAGCCAAAAACAATTCCATATAAGTAATAGGTCCATCTTTTACTTAATAATTTTCTTAATGAAAAATAATTAACAAATCCACTTGGTCCTTGGCACCCTGAGATGGGATTCGGATCCATGACCTTTCGCATTGTGCCTGTGATACGAGTGTATAGTGGGGAAGTTTATAAAAGTATCAATAACAAATTCCCAGAATAGGTTTCCAAATCTGATGCGCGATGTGTTTTTATAAAATTTAAATCCAATAATTCCGTAGCTCGGTAGCGTAGTGGATAAACGCCGCGGCCCGCGATCGTAGTCGTTAAGCAACTTTTGCAAGGGTCGGTCACGGGATGGGTGACCAAAAAATTTTTAGCTCGAGCTACTCCGTGCTTCGGAAGGCACGTTCAGCCGTTGGTCCCGGATGCATTTGCAGTCGTTAATACTCTCCATTCCGCATTGGGCCAGCGTGGTGGGTCATGGCCCATCCTCCTTAACCATCCATAAGGAAGGCCTGAGCCGCTGCAGTGGGGACGTAAAAGGGCTGGTGATGATGATGATGATGAATCCAATTATTAATTTAAAAAAATTACTCACCAGATTCAATTATTACACAAATCATAACAATAAAAAAAATTAAAACAGAGACACATTACGAGTATTTACACAAAAGTTAATCTTAATAGTTAAGTGAGATTAGGGAGGAGGGAGGAAATGGTAAATTTAGCCCAATTTCCTTACTTAATTGAAAACTATTTATTTCTAAGATATACTTTTTTATTTTATTTTCTAACTTTTTTTTTATCTATTTATTTACAGCCTTCTTTGAATCATCAACTTACATAGGTGTACCAAAATAAATTAGCAGTGGTAGACAGACAGATAGCTAATAGTGATCGCTCTAACAAACTTTATGGTTTAATTTTTTCCTTTTTTTGGTACATAACCCTAAAAATACAGCAATTTCAATTTCTACCTTTAGTTAAAAAGAAATGCAATATTTATCATCAGCTATCTTGATTTCCAATTTTAGTTTCTATTTTTTCAATGTCTTCGATGTTGATGTTATCTGAAAATTCTCCATCTTTTTTCTCTTTGTTATTTATCTGGGATCTTTTCAAAAATGGTTCATGTAAAGCTTTATATAGTTTTTTAGCTTTTGTAGCTCCAAACCCGGGGCATTCTGACAATCTCTTCTCTGAAGCAAGAATGATATTTCCTAATGTACCAAATGTTTTTATAAGTGTCATAGCATCAGTTTTATTCACAGGTTTTATGGATGTCAATGCATTTACTATCTAAAATATATAAAGAAAACATGAATAGTCAACAGAACATCAGGTTACCCACGACAATAATGCATTAAAATTCAAAATTAATTGTAGATACATATTTGGTAAAAATTACTAACATTGCCACAAAAACATTACACACAGCCATTAAAAAATTAATGAAATTTCACCTTTTGATGTGGATCATTTTCCACTTTCTCCATAATATTATCTGGTGGTTTGTTCTCATAAATCTTGTAATTCTCTACTATTTTTGCTGCTTCTTCAGGACTCCATGCTAACATAAGAGTCAAATCAGTCAAAAGACATATCCTAGTTAAATTTTTTAATGGAGTGTGAGGATCCTTTAAATCTACCTAGAAATCAATTTTAAAATGATATAATAGTTTAAATACTAAAATCATTTTTCTTTTTTCAAGGAATAATAATAATAATATTATACCTGCACTAACAATATTCGTAGCTCATACTTTTTGCCTAATTCTTTCAACCTATTATTAATATAATCTGGATTCATATTATGGTATCTTAGAGACAAGAACAAGATGCATATTGTTTTGCCGACTTCATAATCTGGTATAATTTCATCATACTCCCAAGGTACATTTGTGATGAACTTCAGCAAAGGGTTGCCTCTCTAAAACACATAAATATAATAATACTAATGTAAAATGTTCTTGATAAACTATAGACTATTACTTTTTTGAACATTCTTGAAAATGGAGTTTGATAACTTTGATAAATGGAGTTTAATAACTTCTTGAATATTTACCTGTTTTTGATTTACCAGCACACAGTGTGTTTTAGAAGATGAGGGCTTAGCTTTTATCGTGTCTTTACTAGTTCCTATTGGATGAAATATATGAGATCAATTTTAGAATAAATATAATAAATAATCTTTAATTAAAATTAATTAAGATTACCTGGTAGCTGTTGTTTATCATTTGTTTCTAACTTTGCTTGTTTAGGTGAAGTTGGTTCACATATATCTGCCAATAACTCATCAAAACCATCTTCTAGTTCCATTATTTTACTATTTCAATTAAACCTACTTCTAATTAGTTTCTTGATATTAAACTAAAATTAAACAGCAATAAGCCTAAATACTGCAATAATTTTACCAGATATTACATAAAATAAAATGCCGTAACTTAGTATTAATCTCAGCATTTTTTGTTTAAAACATGCAAATAATCACAAATTTAATCAAAATTAAATGTAAGATTCTCAAAATATTTAAGTACTCCACCAAATCAACTCTTCTTCCAATAAATGACATTGACAGGTAGGGATTCCGATTTTCCGTTATCATCCCATTTTTATTATATCGAAAATCTATCATTTTGAACATGGTCTTTGATGTTTTGGAATGAGGAAGTATTAAAAAAAATCGTAAGCACTAAAAAAGCACCTTCACTAGATGGCGGCTCTAGCAAAAGTTGTTTTTTTTTTTCAGGAAACGAATGGACTAAATACAGTTATTTCCGTTCCTTTTAACTAACATATTAAAAAACTGAAATTTGAAAAGTTCGAAACTTAGATATCAATACAAATACGAAAAAGTACAAATAGAATATGAGTTGTTTATTGAGTTTTGAAAACTAATTTACTTCTAAAAATGAAAGAAAACCGGAAGGGTTGTCATGGTGAAATCAAGAACGTACCTTAGCGACATCTAGTTTATTTTCAGGAACTACTGTTTTTTTTTAAATACTTCCTCATTATTAGTACTCCCAAGCAAATATAATCTTTCTAGCGTCTGATGTTTGCTTACAAAAAAGCTATCAAATATGGACCTGAATGTTTGAAAAACTTCGTGCTAAGAAGATGCTTTCATTCGTTTTATACACTATGGGGATTAGGCGGAGTACCTAATCATTTTCGAGATCTCAACTCGATTTATTCGACTTATGCTTAAATCGATTGAATGGAATTGGTTAACACATCACTATTCCATCTGTTATTTTTTTGCAGTTTTCTTTTCTGTGTATTGTTATGTTAGGTTATTTTTTGAGTTCCTGTACAATATATATTCCATTGTACAAAACATAAATAATGTAGTAGCGATTATAAGACCTTATTTATCATGTACTAATTCCATCATTACAAAATATGAATACGTCTTTTCAAAATAAATCAAAACCCGAGCGTGAATTTGAAGATGAAATTTTCGACGACTCCGCTTTCCTTGCAAATTTTGATAATAATTCGTTTAAAGAAACTAAAAGTGACTTGAATATCAGGTTATAATTAGTTAATGACATTATTAAAATAAGTTAAGGGAGCGATAAATTAAATGTAAATATTTTTTCATTTCATATTTCATCAACTTTTTAGTGCTCTCTGCTGTGATGAAGAAATCAGTGGTTACGATAAAATCACTGGGAAAACATGGATATATCCTACAAATTATCCAGTTCGAGACTACCAATTAAATATAATAAAAGCTTCAATATTAAAAAATACCCTTGTAAGTATTTTACCTTGATATTTTAGGAAACATTAAAACTTGTTAGCTCAATTTGTTTTATATTATTAATCTTTTATAATCAAATCTGACATAAATTTTCACACTCAAAAAAGTTTCAGTAATGATCAAACCAAAGCTGAAACAGAAAAAAAAATAATTCTAAATCATTTGTGAGTTTTGTTTTAAAGTATACATATACTGACCTAAACATTTGGTACAAATTCCTTAGAAAATAATGGACTTTGAAAAAACTTAGACCATTTAATCAGAGTATAATATATATTTTCATTCACGTCATACATATGTAATCGAAGTATTGTAATAATATTGTGGTTTTTATAGATGTCTTTAACATTTCATATGTGTTGAAATAGCAAGTTTTTTTTCTATATTTTATTAAAAATTACATATATGCTACATAAATAAAGTAGTTCAATTTATTTTGTCTGTCTATTGTTTAAGACTATTGTAAAAATATTCAGTAATCAATATAAAGATTTAAATTTTGAGTGTAGAAGTAGTTAACAGTATAATAAATACAATTTTATAATCTTTTTCAAAATGCTGAACAGAGAAGATATAATCAATAACCTCTTGTATTTTTGGTACTATGATCTTTACATTTCTGATGATTGAAAAACCTATAAGCAATGGCCCTATGTGTTTAGGTTATTATCACTCAAGCGAGCATACTATTCTTCTTTTACTATGATTTTATGCAACCCTGGATGTACTAACCTTAAGAAAATTGTATATTTTATTATATTACTATTTCATATAATATAACAATACAAATTTTGTCAAAAAGGTGAATTGTAAGATAAAATTACTTATACAGTACAAATTTTTTCTGTTGATTTAATATATTAAATGATTCTCTTTTTAGGTAAGTTTACCCACGGGACTGGGTAAAACATTTATAGCAGCAGTGATTATGTACAATTTTTACCGATGGTATCCATTGGGCAAAATAATTTTTACTGCTCCTACTCGACCACTAGTCGCTCAGCAAATTGAAGCATGCTATAATATTATAGCAATTCCACCAAATGACACAATTGAAATGACCGGTAAATATTTTTTTTAATGAATCAAGAATATCTACATTGTTTCTTAGAATCAGTATGTTGAAGAGTTTTCAATTTTAGGACACATGCATGTTAATACTAGGAAAATGAACTGGCAAAGCAAAAGAGTGATTTTTGCAACTCCACAAGTAATTTACAATGATATAAAATCTGGCATTTGTCCAGGAGACAAGATCAGATGTCTTGTTGTAGATGAAGCTCACAAAGCCAGGGGTAACTATGCCTATTGCCAAATTGTGTCCACACTGACTGAAATGGGACATAAAACATACAGAATTTTAGCATTGTCTGCTACTCCTGGAAGCAAAGTTGAAGATGTCATCAGTGTAAGTATAATTTTTTTTATTGGACAATACTTAGGCTATTTTCACTCTTAAACCTACTTGGCGTTATATATGATTAAATTGACTAATATAGACCTAGACGGCTATGTGACTCACAATACCGTTTGAAACCTTGTGTCGTTATCTCAGGTGCCAGGTTAAATTCAATCAAAAGCTTCAAAACTATATTGAAAATGTGATAAAGTTGTCACATATCTGAGTAAAATTGAAATTGAGTCATGTTATTTAATATTAACATTGTAACCAGAGTTGGTATCTATCCCGATTCTAGTGGCATATTACCGACTTCAATGATATAGTCAGCATCTTGACTAATTTTGTCCTGATTTTTTATTACCCATATGACAGTAGCACAATTCGAATTACACGCCACCTTTCCATATCACTCCCCAAGCACCACATTCTTGTCACACCTTCATAAATGTAAAGTGGAGAAGTATTTTTACCATTACGCAGATTTTTTCAAGTTTTGGTCTGATAATAAATATTGTTTTAGGTTGTAAAAAGTCTACATATAGCCCATTTAGAATTGAGGACTGAAAACTGTATAGACGTACAGCCCTACAGTCATTCCCGGAAGATCAACACAGTTATCATACCACTTGGTCCTGAATTGGATCAATTGAGACAGCAATATGTTGAGGTTTTTACAATTACTCCTCCATTGTTTACAGTATTACAAGAAAACTGTTTAACTATAGTCTTAAAGGTTTCTTTTAGATTTTAGATGGTTATGCGAGACGTCTGAAACAGTTCAACATATTACCACAAAACCTTGGTAATTTATCAAAAGGTAGAGTTGTAATGCTCTATAAAGAATTTCAAACTAAAGAGAAAAGTGCAAGGTAAATAAAAATTGTATTTATTATTTAAGAAAATAAAGATTTGTCTTGCATTTTGATTTACACTATTAATTTTCAGACATCCACAGCACAACTACATCATGAAAGACTTCACTTTGCTGATTGCCCTCTTCCATGGTTTGGAGTTACTTGTGAAGCATGGTTCCCGTGTTTTCCTTAATTTCTTTGATGAACATCCTGAAAAATCGTGGATACAGTCTGATGATAAACTGACAGCATTGTTAGAAAGATTAAGAGATGATCTTGGAATTAATCCATTGTCTTTGAACACTAGTATCTTACCAGACGGAACTATACCAGAAGTAATTAAATTACAATATTTGTCAATTTTCATAATAAACAACTATAATTCTATAGATATTTATATGTATTTCAGGTGCCAAAAAACATTTGTTTCGGTCATCCAAAATTTTATAAATTGAAAGAAATAATGTTAGAGCATTTTATGAGTGCAAAGAAGAAAGGACAAGATACAAGAGCTATTGGTAATTCAAATACTGTATTTTATTCATTTTGTAAAAGTAATTATTTATTATACACAATGATTTTTGATTATAAAGGAATTTCATGAACATTTAATAATTGACTACTATGATAGTCAAATCAATTATAAGTTAGATAACAGCACGCGAGACGGTACCGCCGGCAGTTTTTTAATTTGTGGTGTCAGGAAATTTCCCATAGTGATATGTAAAATTTCCTCAATGGATTTTGAACTGTGCTCTAAATATGTTAAGGTTTATTATCAATTTTATCATTAAGTAATAATACGACAAAGCTATTTCGAATAGAAAAATAAACCAAAATGTTTAATTAAATATATAAATAATAGAGTTTTTAAAGAAAAAATGCTCTTAAAATCCACTTTGTCTCTGGCACTCTGAGATGGCACTTGAACCTGCTCCTCGGGAAAGCTCAGTAGAGCAGTCGCCCGGATTGCGAAAGGTCATAGGTTCAAGTCCCATCTCAGAGTGCCAGGGTCAAAGTGGATTTTTAAGCGTTTTTCATTAAGAATATTTTTATTAATAGTAGATCAAATATAATAAATAAAAGTTTTCATATCTATAGCTAGAATCAAGGCTAAAGAGAGCTAGGCGATCGCTTTGCAGGTTCCGTGTTCACGTAGATTATGTTGTACTTATGTACTTGGACAAAATCTCAGTCTAATCTAAATGAACACGGAACCTGTAAAGGATCCGAAACGTCCAAGATGTAATGGAATATACCTAAACGCGTTCCATTCGTTTAAAAGTAATTTTATTTAATGAGAAGTGCACATGAAAATATAAGAAACAAGTAATTATCGTTAAGGTTTATTTTACATAAAGATTTTTCGACAAATATCGGTGTCTGTTAAGTTACTCAATTTTCTTGGGTGATTATAGGATCACAATGCCACACAACTATACTAGCTGTTTTCCTGCGACTTCGCACGCGTAAATTATAGCCTATGTCACCCGCCTATGATATAATTTTTTTAAATTCGGTCCAATTTTTCGGCCGAATTTTTACAGTAACGTCATGAATATTACAGGCAACGTAATATTCAGAAAAATGTGTTTATTACTCAGAAATATTTGTTTTATGGCTTTTTTAAATTAAAATAAAAGAGTTACAAGTGTTATTTCAAACAGAGTATAATACCCTGTTGCAACTAAATTTATAAGAAGTCTACGCTCTCTAATTTAGATGCCAAACACTATAAAATAGTCACTAATATAATGTTTTTATAAATTTTTAGTGTTCTGCGAGTACCGGGAAAGCGTTAATTTAGTGCACTGTTTACTGCTTCAGTGTCGGCCACTGATAATGGCGCAAATGTTCGTCGGACAAGGAGCTTCTGGTAAAAAATATAAATATTAGAATGTTTAACTATAGTTATATACCTTACCTCCTTGTAACAATTATTTTTTTATTCGTAAAGGCAAAGACGGTAAAACTGTGGTATCCCAGAAGCAACAGTTACGTGTTATGCGCAACTTTCGTGAGGGTTCTTGTAACACTCTGGTTGCGACCTGTGTGGCTGAAGAAGGCCTTGATATTGGATCTGTTGACCTGATACTCTGCTTTGATATATCAACGCGTTCACCAGTACGGCTAGTACAAAGGTAAGCATGTTATATTTGTTTAAGTTACAGGAAAATTACATACAGTCGGTGTGTTTGGATTTTTATTTTTATATTTATTATACAACATATAACATTATCGTACATCCTGAAAGTAGTTTGTTTAAAATCAGATACTAATTTGATTTCACAATTTCAACAAATTTAATTGGAATCAAGTAAATTTGGTCACCTGTAACCATTACAGCTGTCACAAACAAAAATAAGCTTAAGTGAATGAAATAAAATTTATATACCATAAATAAACATGACGTATATGTGACAAACATGAAAGTGGCAGTGGATGATTATTTTTTAGCAATTTAAGTATAATTTTCAATTTCACATACGATGATCCTGCGTTATACTAACGTACAGTAAATACATCGAAATGCTTAAGGGTTAGGCACAATGTGGTGATACTGTGCTCAACAAGTAAGAATCATAATTATTGTCTAAAAATTTAAAAATACACTTTGAATCTTGAAACAACAGATACACAAACTATACAGATGCCTCTAAAATAACTCGGACTATTTTGTCTTACTTAAGTCGGTGCTATATGCCGCAAGTGAGCAAGCAGTACTTAGAATTGGAGTTACCTATTCTATGGATTTTCGCATAAACGTCAATAGACGGCGTTGATTCGTAGCACACCATAAAAGAACTTTAATATAGATATATATTTAATACACCCTACCTATAACAGTTTCTTGTGTCTACTATAAAATGTAAGTTTATTTTTATTTTAAATTATCAATCAATAAAAAATATACACCAAGAAAAAATGTTTTAAATAAAATAATACTAAAAACGTAGCCATTTAGAACGCCATCTCTGCATAAACATTTAATTAGCTGAAGCATACTTTTTCTCTAAAATTTTGACGACTGTAATTTTACGAAAACTAAATTAATTAACCCTTTATTTCATTTTTCTTAGGTTAGGACTTTTTTCCCTTTAAGAAATTATACTGGTGATTATGTATTCTGGACTTTTCACAAACAAAATATTGAACGATACATGTAACGCCATCTATTGTGGTTTTTAAGAACAAATATTTTACTTAGCAATGAGACCCCATGCTCGAAACAGAATAATATTTCATGTCGAAATTTTTTATTGGTAGGTAGGTGGTGTTATTGTGGTATTGCGCTGTAGGTACACACATTTGTAGTTGCAGGCCAAGCCGTAATTTTGACTTCATTGTGTGGATTTGTAAGATGTCCACACTGCTGTTACACAGCAATTAATATAACTGTTTCCGTACATAAACAATGTTCTAGTATATAAAAGTAAAATTCCAATTTTCGTTTTATGATTATAAATGCATTTTCTAATGGATATAAAATATAAGAATGTGCGTTATTTCTGTTACACGTTGTATATAATTTTATTGTATTCATTCAGTCTTTTCAAAAATAATACTTTATGCTTTCAGATGTGGACGTACAGGTCGGGAGCGTGGTGGACAAGTCTTCATTCTCGTCACTGAAGGACGAGAGCATAATGTATAAAATGGCATTCAATTTATATTTTACCTAAACATCTCTGAGTGTATAATTACTTACGTTTTATTATATACATTATTCCAGACGCTATTGGATTGTATGCAACAAAGAGACGGTCTGAACAAGAAAATATTACAGTCTTCAGAAGTGAGCAAAAATCTATACAAGTTGAATCCACGAATGATGCCGCATGATTTCATTCCGCAGTGTCAAAAGATGTTTATTACAGTCACAAAGAAAACAGGTTTAAAAGAAAAGGCAAAAGAAACTGATAAAACAAAAAAGGTACAATGAGAAAAATTAAGAAATTCATCAAGTATATCTCAAAGTCATAGCTCAATTCTCTTTTAAATAATTGTCAAAAATTCGTCTCAAAAATATAGAAATACTTATGTTCCGATTTTTCTCCGTTGTCTATGGTACTCCATCCATAATGTGGGGTTTTGGCTCCTATCTTGGAATCTGAGCAATGTATATGATATCTAATATTTATTATGTATGGAACGTACAAAATTCTCTATTAAATCTTGAATGTGTTTTGAATAAATCCAATGTCAGGGAAACCGATGTAATGTTCAGTAGGCTATCTATTTTGTGTAAAGGTCTTTAAATTACCGGTACAATAGTGTTTGTGCCTTTTCGATTTAGTCTTTTATCAAATCTCTTTTTTATATTTGTAATAAATAGCCCAAATGAAAAAATTCTAGGGTCAAAAAGACTTACGAATAATGTTACTGGGTAAGACGTCAAGTTCCAGCAGCTCTTCTAGTAAGGAATTCGAATTAGATAATCTGATCAGTGAAGAAGAATTCAAAGAAATATATCCTAATGGATTCGAATGTAAAACATCGTTAATTAACTCAAGGGAATTCTGGTCAATGAGTAAAGGTAAATATTTAAAGTGTGTAAATAAATTATCAAAATCTAATTTTCTAAATTCTCGCTTTTTTTGCAGAAAAAGTTACGGCAATTAGTAAAGATAATTATAAAGATGACTTTAAGTTATCAACGTGGTTGGAATGGCAAAGAACATTACAAAAAACTATTAACATTGGACATTCTAAAGATAGTGAAATATTATCCGAGTTACTTCAGTACAGTGATGCCAAAAGATTCGAGTTACCTGCTTCTACTCAAAATCCAAGTATGTATAACTTATGTCTGTATTTTTACGTCATTTAAGTTATTGTTAAAATGTCTAATAAAGTTAATACTTTATTCTGACAGCCTTTGCCACACAAGTCATTGCCAGTCAAAGGATGTTGATGTCTCCAACCAAAGAAAAACCGACAAAAGCGAAAAAAAATAAAGTTGTTTCAGTAAAATCACCTTTTAAAGTAACAAAATCGCCAGGAAAAAGAGATGGTGACATTAGGGCACTTTTTAGTACGACTACGAAATCTACCAAAAACTACACAAAATTATTAAATGATCTAGGTATTCAAGGCAGTGGTAAACTACCTACAAGACTAATAAATCTATTGGTTGATCTAAGTTTGGAGAGTACAAATATGACTAAAACTTGCTATATTTGCCAAAACGTGTGTGATTGTAAATTTTTATACAATATGAGGGTAAAAAGAAAATCGCCCTCCATAAACTTTTTGGTTGATCCTAAATTTCCAAGTCTCGAATTAATTGAAGACATCAGACCAGATTCTTTCTTGAACTTTGTCAAGAACGTAGATGTCCATAAAAATTTGGTTAGTGACAATAGTTTATCAAGTTGTATAGATGAAATTATTGAAGATAAAATAATTGATGAAAAAAGTAAAATCACCAATAGTCATGAATCTGACTATGACTTTGATTCTCTAGATGAATTAAACTCTTGTATACTTATACAAGAAAAAACACCCGGAAAAAATCACGCAGTGAATGAAGATAGAAATAGCAACAATAACTTTGACTTAGGTTTCGACTTTGATAGTCCTGATGAATTTGATATACCAACAATTTCCGTAAGTAATAATGAGAAACAAAATGAAAATGTTGAAAAGAACTTCGAAATTGGAGATATAGAAGATATTTTTGTAGAAAGCAGTCCAGAAGAAACAGAAACTAAAGAAACAGTCAAAGCAGTAAAAGAAGAAAAGCCAATAAACCATAACGAAGCGTTAGGATTTTTCGGATTAGATAGCATTGATGATATATTTGCTGATTATGATGACAGTATGGATAACGATCATAAGCACATCAAGGAACAAAAAGAAAAAGAGGAAAAATGTGAGCAAAATGTTAGTCCCTCAATTTTGTCTGGTAGACCTAAACATAACACTTCCACCTCGCCGATATTAAGTAGCCAAAGTAAAAAATATCAATTAAGCACTAAGAAAAAAGAGGGTATAGCAACAAACAGTAAAGTAAAAAGACAATTGATAACAGATCCTGTTAGTAAACCTACAGAATATAAAACAGAGAGTAGTATGAATGTTAGCAATAATAAAAGTATGTTCACAATAACACAAATAGTTGAAATGATTAACAACCCCGACGGTAAAAAATCTAGTTCTTTTCAAACAAATAAAACAAAAAATTGTAAAAATGAGAGTAATCTTTCAATAGGGGATGGTGATCGAAGTATGTCGCCCATATTATTGACTCAAGCAGATAAAAAGAAAGCTAGTATGTTAGAAAATTCAAGACTTACTCAAACATGTACAGAAATGAAAAAAGTCGATAGTCTTATAGTTCTAGATAGCGACAGCGATTCTTGTGATGAGACTCGAGTTTACGATGTAGATGAAGACAAAATACATACTTCTAATATTGATAAAGATGATATAAATACTTTGAATCACACCAGTAGTAAAAGAAAATTCGAATCAGACGATAAGGACGTAATCAATGCTTCACCATATTTTAATAAAAAACGAAAATTGGACAATAGCAATCCTAAATCATTAACCTTGCAACAAAGAGTTTTAGCAGCCTTAATGTCGAATAAAGACAGTGATTGGAAACCCAATAACAACCATATTATAAACTTAAGTGTTTCTCCAGTAAAGTTGTCACAAAAAGAAAACGAGGACCCTCAATTCTTGAAGGTCTCCCCATTCGATAATGATTATGAGAAGGATAATCTTAAAAAAAGCAATTTAGAAATCTTGGAATCGTTTAGGAGAGACAAAGTATGCAGTCTCAAAAATAAATTAAATGTGGAAACAAATGGAATCAAAAAGCTTGCGTCTCAAAAGAGACAGTTAACATTTGAAGACAGCGATGATGACTTTGTGGATGTCAATAATTGTCACAGTCAAAAGAAACAAGTCCAGAAAACCATTTTACATAGTCCTCCTACCAAACACAAAGTGCGAAAAGTGAGTAAGCCTATATTTTCTTTAGACTGTTTACTTAGAAAATTAAACTTTGAACACTCGTTTCACTAATGTGCATTGATTTGATGTAAATCAGGATGGAGTAAGAGTTTTCACGTCGACCTTCGCCATCGAATACGTAAGAATTTATATATTTAGCGAAGAGCCGAAATTCTTTTAAAATTCTTACGTATTCGTATTCGAATTTCGGCTCTTCGCTCCTACCCTCAACTATCAAAATTTACTCTATTCATACAAATTAACGAGCGCGATGGCAAGTTACGACTCACGAAACTCGTATTCGGCACTCGCGTGTGAGCGTGAAGGATACCACAGAATTTTGCTGATTATACTGATAAAGAGCTACAAAGGCCTTTCCATTTTCATTATTCAATTACTGCATGTTGTAGTACAGTGAATCTTGGTTTCTATAGAGCAAACCTACCAATTCCAACGATTAAAATGTGTCTTGTTTTAATAATCATAAGGTGTAAAATAAAACTCGTTAAGTGTCTCAATCAAATTCAGCTGTTAGGCGCGCAAGTATTGGTGGGATCGCTCTATGGCGCGATTATTGAATCATTCTTATTGGCAGACATTTGCAGTGCTTCAAAATTTAGGTCTCTGTGCAGGTTATATACCCATTAGTGAGCCACATCAGTTACATTCTACTGTATCTAATAGGTATATTACTAAGGAAAACACAGTTTAAATAATTACGTAATTTTTATATTTAATTCTAACGTGCGAATTAACTCATATTTATTGTGTTATTGTAGAAAAAGAGAAAGCCAGACTTCTTAGAGCTAGAAGCGGAGCTATCTGGTGAAAGTGACAGTGGTGATGAATTATCCGACACTAGCGCGGGCAGTCTAGCGGACTTTATATGCGATGATGCAGACATTACACAACAACCAGACATGCACGCACACTATATACGATCTGTTAGGTACGTAATATAACAGAAACATTATAATAATTTTAAAATAATTATTTTGAATCGCAGCAACAAGCAAGAATGTATCTTTTGCATCATGTTCTACACTTGATCTGTATACGAAAGTAAAAGATGTCAATAAATTCTGTTACTATGTTTAAGTTATACACGCTGGGCATGGACACATGTACCATGTTTTTTTTCTATATATAGACCAAACAGAAAATAGGCACTTTATTTAAATATAACTGGTTAAGTTACAGAAGCATTGCAATATTGCGGACTCAACTGAGAAATAATTTTATTTACAGGAGTCCAGTGAAAGGTGTTTTCAAGATACCAGAGTTACCCAAAAAGTTTAACAATATGGACGTGTTTTCACAGTATGTGGAGGAAGATAATTATGAAATGGTATTTATAAAGAATAACTTTATCATATACTAACTGTTTGCCGCGACTTCATCCGCGTAAATTATAGCTTGTCACCCGCGTATGATGTAGCGTAGGTGAAAGATTTTTAATAGTCGAATCAATATTTCCATAGATTACCCCAAACAAAACAAACTTAGAAACTTTACCTTTTTATCATCATCAGCACTTTTACATCCCCACTGCAGGGGCTTAGGCCTTCCTTATGAATGGTTAAAGAGTGTGCCATGAGCCATAACCCTCCATACTGGTCCAATAGGGCTTTTATATTATTACTATATATCAATGGTGTAATGTGGACAATGTAAAATGGTCAATTTAATTCACAGGATAGTTTTTGTGTCGATTCCCATATTGGATTAACACAAGTTGACGACGTGTCGGAACTGGAGTTGGCGGAGATAGTTTTAGAAGGAAAACGGAAGCGAAAGAAGAAAACCGATGATAAATCGATTAATACCGGACATGCAAACGGTGATAGTCCCATAGTTAGGAGGAAAAATAAAATCCCTAGACGAATAGAAAGTGATTCAGATGATAGTACATGAGACTTGAGTCGATACTTGGTGTATGTGAAATTCCAGTTTTGTTCTGTGATATGATACAAATGTTATTATAGAATGTAAGTTTATCTTGTAAATACTATACCATTGATATTATTGTACAAACTAAATGGTTATTGTTGATTTTAAACATGAAATAAAAATAATAATAATGATGTTGACATTTTATTTTATTAAATTTACATAAACATGTAATTTTATTTCTATTTAGTGTGCCATTTTATATTAGTTATGTATTATGTAATTATCTCGTCTCACGATTCACCAGCTATTCGTTTTGTGTATCAGTCAGATTATCAAATATTTGTTTAATTTAATATTTCTATTAATCCTCTACTCATTAATATTATAATGTACTTTTATTCATCTGTACTCTTCGCTTCGCTCTCCTTTGGTTGTCTTCCTTTGTGAATATCTTCTAACTCTGTTTGAAGTTCACTATATTTCTTCTGTAATTGTTTTTCACGGTCCGTTTGACGATTGACGTCCTCCGTCAGTGACTGTGGGCAAATACAGAACAATATTAAATTGTGTTTAACTATTGCAATGACAAGGTATAATATAGAATACTGTTGTATGTCTTTAAAGGCATACAAACAAAAACTAACAAACAATTAAAAACATCCACTTTGTATTGTTAATATAGAAGTGTTGAGAAACCTTACTGGAGTAAACTGAAACTTAACATGTCATACTCGTCATATGATCGCAAACAACGCGTTACGTCACGCCCCTCTTAATCATACCAGAACTTGTGAGAATTAAACCATAAGCATACATAGAACGATATTAGTTTTAGAAGAGCGTGACGTCATAGCGACGGCATGTCAGAAGATGACGTACTCGCGGGAAATGTGGTCTGTGGTTAGACTCAATATGATTATGTTTAAATCATTGTTTATATAACATTATTTCTTAATTAACGTAATAAATCGTATTAACGTATTAAGTTGTTTTTGGTAAATCTATGTAGAAAGATAGAATTGGTAATTCAAAATTGTTTTGTTGAATTAATGTATTTAAATCGTGTAATGGTCTCCTACGTGAAGCTGGCAGTAATGTGGTGACGCAAAGTGCCATTAAAGTTAAGAAGAAGAAGAAGAAAATTAAATTTATTTTTCGTTTTTAACTTATTATATGAATGATACTTTTTTAAATATTTTTTTAGATATATTTCATGTATATCTATCTATATAAAAAAAAATGTCTTCACCCCTATTTAGGATTGTATTTTTTTTTTTAATACCGTTCTATATTTAATCAACTTTGCATTAACAATGCTATACTGAAAAATGCCAAAAAAATCCATTTTATTCCTGACGCTCTGAGATGGGACTCGTCATTCATGACCTTTCGCTTCTCTATCTCAATTTTTGTTTCATTCAGTATATTGTTGTGCATAAAGATCTCAAATAATAATAATACAATAATTTTTTAATATTAAATAGAAAGGATTATAAATACTATCATAAAGTAAATATATATGTACCTCTATCCTACGCGGTATAGCAGCCTTCTCTTGTTCTGCGAGGAACTTGAATGTGGAGAGCTCGAGATTGGCCTGCTCGATCTGTTCCTGTAGCTCCTGGAACTGCTTCAGTAACGACGCCGCTCGACTTTGATACCCACCTTATCACACAGTTTACATACGTTTTACATTTCATTACCAGCCTATGTATGTACGAGCCTTCACTAAATGGACTGGAACCGATAAAGATATGGAGAATAGACTATGACCCATCACATTAGCCCATTGCGGATTGGTGGGAGACAACGACTGCGGATACAGCCGGACCCATTAGCTTAACTTGTATTCCGAAGCACAAAGAAACTCGAGATAATTAATTTTTAGCCACCCATCCTATGACTGGCCTTTTAGAAAGTTGCTTAACTTCTAACCATAGCGCGAACGTCGAACGTCTCTACAGCACGATCGCTGAACAGAAAGAATTTCGTACTCATGCGCAAACATTTTTATTGCGAGCGCATATTTGCAACTAGTCAATTTTTATATAGAAAAGTGAACCTAAAACATCTACGGTAAGTACAAAGGTCAGTATACGAAATTCTCTGTTCAGCAATAGTATTAAGTTATTTTCAGCCGTTATCACCTGTAATAACCCTTAGTTTCTTCTCCATTTTGGAACACTTCTTCGCCTCCTTAGCCATGTGATTCCTGTTTTGTTCCAATCTTTTCTCAGCTGATTCCAATCTGTCTTTTTTACTAGCTAAATTGGCACGTGTATATCTATTTTGACCGGGTAAAAAGAGTACCTGTAAAAAACATAATATAAACTCACTGAGCTATTTTATTCTATACTATACTTAATTCTTTATTTTAATGTCAGCAGTAGCATAAATTCCCCGATATAATAACTTCTATTCAAATCACATGTTTCTGTCACAAATACCGCTTAAAACCTGTCATAATTGTTACACTTTAAATCTTTAATTAGTGTGAAATTTGTGAAGAGAATAAGGTACAAAATATATGTTTAAGACGTGAATATATGAGACGCTATTAATATGACCACGTCAGTAAATACAAGACGCTGTCCTTTTGTAGCCGGATATTAAATGCACATGAGGTGTCCTTGGAAATTCATTATGATATCAACCAAAGAAAATAATAAATTTTGACTTGACTAAAATAGCTTTTAGGAGTGGGATTCTTTAGATAAATACAGTATTTATAAGATGTCATACCTGAGCCAAGCATTCTTCCCAGACTTGTGTATAAGCATCCATACTAAGATCGCCGTGTCCCATGCCACCTTTCACTGCCTCCATTTCTTTTTTCAGCTCATGCTTGGCCGCATCCAATTCCTCAGCTGAGAATTCCTCATATGGATGTTGTTCTAAATAAGCCAAGTGGGCTGCTTGAAGTTGCACCGCTCGCTTCTTATCTGTTCCTGTAGTGAAAATGAATTTATGAATGAGTGTATAACGTTATAAACTAGGATTAGCTTTATTGTAATATGTTTGATGTAGACACGCATACGCAGTAACGTGTCCAGTCAAAATAGTGCTTTTCGAAGTAATTTAATAAATAATCATTCTTAGTAATGAGATTTATGATCTATTTTTAAGATTTTTAATTGATGGGGTAATATTATTTGTCGGGGCGGCGTACACTTCATAATAAACACTTGATTTTATTATAAGAATCCTTTTATTAATTCACACTTTTGCAAAAACATCTTACACCATTTCATATCAACCACAGAGAGAGAGAGTGCCATAGAGTAAGTATCCAAAAGTAGTATGCTATATTAACAACCACAGATTAATAATCTAACACTATTTACAAACATATTAGACCTAAATTATTCATACATTTTTACGCAATACTTCATTCGAGCACCTATTCCTCTAATTCCTTTGCGTCCTAGTCATGCACTATGGAATCCTACTTTATGGTGATATAATTGTAGGAGCGAGCTCCGACATTTGAACTAGTGACAATTAAACAATTGAACGCAACATCCGTGTCATTCTTTACATCTTACTAATAAATTTATAACAATATTGTAGGGTCGTGGACTCTACATATGGTCCTTCGACATACTTAGTGTGATAGTGTTTTGTGCTTTTGTTTATTATTGCTTTGAAAATGATACAATAAAAACTTTAAAAAAATGTGTAATTTACAAATAAATTAGAACAACTGCCTCCTAATACTGTAGTAAGGGTACAATAATAGGCCTGGAGCAGTACCAGTATACAGTATTACCTGTGGGCGGGTCCCGCAGCGCGTCGTAGTGCAGCATGGTGACCATCTCCGCCTTGAGCAGTTCTTCGGCGTGCTGCAGCGGCGTGAGGGGGGCGCCTCCCCCCGACCGCAGCACGGACAAGTTCACGTCCCAGGGCCGGCACAGCCCGCGCTGTACGCAACTAGACCGCAGAGCTAGCTCCGCCAACCCTAACACACGACCACATTATTATACTAATATAATATGAACAATAGGGTAAGGGGCCGTCCATTAATCACGTGAGGCTCGAAAGTGGGGGGAGGGATTCGTCAAAAATCACGAAATATCACAAGGGGGTGGGGGGTTGTAGTCATATATCACGTGTATTTATTTTTTCCTCGTCGTGCGAATATCAAACCGAAAAGCGACGTCAATAATTAAGATTTTTGTTTTTTTTTTAAATACACGTGATTTGGTTTAAGGAGGGAGGGGGTAGTCTTAAACCTCACCATGTATCATCAAGGGGAAAGTTGAGAATGTCATCTTCCTGGGTTTTTATACAAGTTTTATTTAACTTGCCCTGTTAGTACGTTAGTGCGCAAACCTTGGAACTCAATTCGACCCACTTGCCAATGTCCGATAGATTTGCATAGACAAGTATGTCAGATGACAATGCAATATTATGGTGTTAGTGAGCTGATATGATGATGAAGTCGGAAGGTCTTAGGAACCTAATGTGCTAATGAAATAAGAGACGAGGAAATACACATTTTTTAACTCGCTACAAGCTTTTCAAGTCAATAACTATTAGATATAGTTTTGATCATAAGTATTTTAAATATATATTTACGTTTCAGTGCGCATAAATTAAATCTTGTTTTTTAAAATAAAAAAACATAATATTTTTATTTTTTCTATCTGTATCTTCACGCCGTATCCGGGATTTGGCAGAGAAGACGAAATGCTACTAGGCGCGGTTCTTACACAAATTTTTCGCCTCTACTTTCATTACTCTTTTCATATATGCTCGCTTGTTTCTGCGAGCGAGGGTTGGCTTTTATTTGTACAGATACAAAATATCAAAAAACGTCTCAAAGTACACAAGGCTTTGTGCGGATTGATAAACAATTGTTAATTGCGGCACTAATTTGTCAGTAAAAAAATGTTTCTATAAGTACCGCAAATTGCTAATGCGCTGGAACGAAGCTTGCTAATGGTACTGAATATTGAATATAATTGACAATAGATTTAACCACCAAAATGTCGGCTAGGTGCATTGGCAATTTACGTATATAATACATTAGGCGTAAAATATTACTTTTTTTTTTAACAGATACGCAATTGTATAAAAAGTTTGACTTTTAAGATATCAGAGCGTGTTTATTTTACCGATATATTTTATAGCTTATTAGACTGAAAATAAACATATAAGTAATTTTTTTTAAAACAATACATAATTGTATTATAATATTTTTTACAAACTAAAATGTGGAATAAATCTATACTGTTTAAATTTTTCTGTATGATTAAATATATCCTTGAAATCGTTCGTTATCGAAGGCCATGTATGTACAAGCCCTAAGAGTTAGGACATAAAGCATAAAGGCAAAGGTTCTGCCTTTGCCTTTATGCTTTATGCCTAATCTTTGCCTAATCTAAAACTTACGCCTCTCTTCCTGATCCCGCAGCATCCTAGCGTCAGCATCGGCCTGATCTTCCACTGTGAGGGAGGCTGGTGCTGAATCACTCGCCTCGTCCTCATGCTCGGGCACCACTATCTCGTAGTCGTTACGCGGCGCCGGCAACGATTGCAACGCTGTACGAACTGACGCCTTCAACTATTGGAAATAAGGCATAAAGTCCAATTAATGCTGTCTGTGAATATGTTTACTATAATAATCGAGAAAATACACGGAAACCAGAAGCCAAGTTGTGTATTTAACCTCTTTGAGTCAATCTGAATCGAGAGAATCTGAAAGTCAAATCGTTTATGAATAAAATTTAATAATATTATCTATCAGTAAAGCGAGGCATACACCTACAATACACAAGTTCAATAATATACGGTCAATTTTCGTATTATTATTTTCGTGCGAGTAACATGTCTGTCAACGAAGTACTAAGGAAATGTACACGATATTGTTTATTTTTTTTGTTTCAAATACCTGTTTTTGCATTTGATTCGCCACTTGAGGCGTGTCTCCACCTCCTAGCCTATCTTCTGGGTTGATGCTGAGTTTGTCACGTAAGCCAGGGGTCTGTAACGTATATTGAATTTATTATCGATCTATAAATAAATAACTTAAAATGTGCAAATAAAAATTGACTCACAAGTAATCCTGGTTGTCCAGTGGCATGGCTGGGCGTGTTGAAACTACCAGGCGTTGATACTTCACTACGTAACGACCTGTAACAAATGTTGTAAGGCGATATTATATAATTTAATTTTTTCGATCGATTGTTTGACAATATTTAGTTAAAGAATATTTACTCCCAACTTGTCTTTAACTGATGGACAGTTGAGGCGAATAAAAACAGAAATGTTATATCTTTGGTGACAGTAGGTTGATATGCCTATGACGTCATTTCATAACGGTTGTCTATGGCCAATTCGAACTACGAAAACCAGAAGTCATCCACCAGCTATTGAAGAAGTTTAATTATTGTCGTTCTTCAAAATTAGATTCTCAAAGCAAATAACTCACCTAGTACTCGATATCTCTTTACACTGTACGTCCCTGAATGGCGTCGCGAGTACTGTATTGGGCGTGGCTAGTGCTTGCGGTTGCGGTAACGCGGCAGAGAAGTCAGAATGATGCAGCGGAGTGTTCAGACCGCCCTTCAACGGAGTGTCCACGTGAGTTAACGCCATCACGTTCTGGGCCTCCAGCAGAATCCTGACAGACAAAATATAAAAAAATTTGTTTGTGGGCCCTTATGAAGGGTACAGATTTCTCACAAAAGGAAACTAAATGTTTCATTAAATGATTATTATTATAAATGATTGTAAGATTCCCCCGTTGAAGTAAATGACTTAAACGGAGAAATCCCGGAGTCCGCGAAAACCCATGTATGGTGTTGCCAATTTTGAAACTTGTTTTTTTTTTACTTTTATTATTTATGAAATAAAAAGAAATTTGGGATGTTTTTATGAATTTTTGCTAACGCACGTTGCGGGTCCCCCTCGCCGGGGGCCCCATTTAATTAATATGGCAGATACGGCGGTAGCTACGCCCCTGATAATTGGCTACTTGATAGTTATGTTAAGTTATGTAATATGGTGGAAATAGTAACTTATATGTAAACAATAATTGTTTAGTAATTTTATTTTAAAATAAATTGTAAGTACAAATATATAATTTTTGCAAAATTATCTGTCGATTAAAAAAAAAGCGAAACGCAGGCGGCCATGGCGGAGCATCGTATAACGTCACATCTCAATAAATTAAAAGAATGACGTCTTTGTTGCGAGTACAATCAGCACGCGTAGCATAACAACTCGAGAAACGCTACACCAAACGTACATTATTCTCAGTGTGAGATAACGTGAGGGCGTTTTTAAAAAAAAAGTGAAGACAAAACGTTCTCGAGTTCATGATGTTGCGCATGCAGTTGTTTATTGAAATATGACGTCACGACTCATAATAAAAATATATTTTTCCTTTATTCAGTTGTGGCGACTGATACGTAGCGACATCTAACTCATCGCGCTAAATCGCCACAACAATCGATAGCGAGAAGACTAGCATCCTCACATCAATCGATAACAAAACGAACTGCAAGAAGTTTCAACACCCAGTAACGAGACAGCGATGTACCACTACAAACATTGTAAATTAAGATACAAGACATTTAGAACAAAGAAACCTACATCGCCCACAATAAGTTTCATTACCAATTCGCATAAATAGAATGTCCAACCTACATCGGTAGGACCGCGTTCCCTGGGCTAACAACGCCTAGCTCGGAGAGAGACAATTACCCTTTAGTCTCCATCATCCAGTAGGGTCACACCTTCACTATTATGGTTCCTACACAGTTACACTCTGGAGAAAAATAAATCTGATAAATAGTTTACGAACATATGAAAGTTTGAAAATATGTTGCCAAAACGATAACCTAAAGTTTGTATTACAATTTGTGATCAGTGTCAGATCGCTTGGTGTAAGTTTTTTTGACGTTAACGTTCACTATCGATCGTGAGCGCGTTCAGATTTTAGTATGGAATCCGGCACAGCGCCCTTAGCGGTAACTACAAAGTACAAATCTCCATACAAATTCTTAATGCGCTCACTAGTGAACGAGTTAGCGTAAAACTTACACTGACCACTCCGATTGTATACCTGTCCCTGTGTTGCGCGGGCGTCCGCAGCGCTGTGGCGGGCGCGGGCGTGAGCGCGTAGTCGGCCAGTAGCGCGTCGGTGGGGGCGCCGGCCTCGCCCGCCGACTCGCGCGCCGCCTCCGACGCGCGACCCAACTTCACCACCTGCTGCAACTCCTACGCAAACGTATCACAACCGTCACACTTCACCACCACTAGCGATTCTTACAAGACTAGTGATACGACTGAAGTCCTGTTTTTACTAGAGTACAGTTTTAAACTAGTCAACTCTGCGCATCTAGCTGATTCTCTTGCCACTGCATGTCACTTCTCTACTCTATTTTATTTAGATATGCCGCTTATTTTACTTATTTCGTGTATATATTTATCTATATTAAATAGGTACTTATTTAAATTGCTAAAAGAAAAAAAAACTAAAAAAATAAGTTTGCAATTTTTTTACACAAATAACTGGAAAACTTGAGTGTGCCTCGAGTGAATCGAGTCACAAAATCTTACACGGGTCGCATCTATCTACTCGTCGCGTATCGTAACGGAATGTGCTGCAATAAGGGCCAACGCGTGTGAATTTGCCACTGGAGGCGCTAGTGTAGCGTGAGATCTTCAAAATATCAAGTCTTTGTCGATGAACTACACGCTTTTCTTCACTACATAGTATAAAACAAAGTCGCCTTCTCTGTCCCTATATCCCTATGTATGCTTAAATCTTTAAAATTACGTAATGGATTTTGATGCAGTTTTTTTCATAGATAGGGTGATTCAAAAGGAAGGTTTTTTATGTATAATACAACACCACGCGGGCGAAACTGCTGGCGGAATTTTAAATAAACTAATTTTGCGCTTATTTTGGGGTACCGGAGATTCATTAAAATAAATATATATCAAAGAAACAGAAAAGAAGATGTAAAATGAATCGGGATCGGACAACTTTCTAAAGTGTTTTAAATTAATCAATATGGGCGCTTATTCCCACAATACATATTATTTTATACAAATAAACTTCAATAAGTACCCAAAACTATGTTTTAAGTTAAATTGTTTCAAAACAACCGCGTAAATGGTGTACTTGGAGGACGTGACATCATTTGTGCGGTAATAAAGGGATTATCAATAAAAAAAGAAGTTAAAGACGTGATTAATAAACGCCCTCTAGGAACGGTATGATAAAACAAACTAGGTATCATAATACTACAAGGAAAGATACATAACGCGGATTTACTACATTGTGTATATCTGCATACATATTTAATGCAAGAAATCAAATAATTTAAAAATCCTTATTACCTGATCAGTCACTTGTGGCTCTGGTAGAACAAGCTTGCTGCGCTTGCGAGCAGGCTGGTCTCCTTGAAGCATAGCTTGTGGCATATCATTTTCTTTGCGCTGTTTGAGCTTTTGTTTGTCTTTACGACGGTCACGCTGTTGGGAAACATAAACAAATATTTTAATAATAAATAAACACATGGAAAATCTTAAGTAATTTTCTAGTCATAGAATGTTACATATAATTTGCAGAGTATAGCAGTCTTATTAGAGTAATCTGAAAAATACACACAGCTGCACATGAGACTATACATTGTGAACTTAGCACTGACCGTGTTTCAGAGGTCAGCTAACAGTGTTGATGTATAGCGTTTTAACAGAGGTCAGCTAACAGTGTTGATGTATAGCGTTTTAATAGAGGTCAGCTAACAGTGTTGATGTATAGCGTGAAGTGCGACCATGCGCACACTACTTCATAAAGAATTTTAAACTCCTATATTACAAGCTAACTGCTCCAAGTTCATCCTACCTAATCATGAATACAATAATTTTGCAATTCATTTAAATGGAACTTGAATTTAAAGTATAATTTAAGTTGATACCTCTTCTTTTTCAGACTGCAATTCTCCATCAAGATGCTGTTGTCTCAAACGGGAGAAGTCAGGTGCCATGGGGTCAACTACCTCAGTTGAGGTGTCATAGAAGCCTGGTGCTGGCCTCTTTTCGAAAGGGATTTCCGAATTATAGTCAACACCTCTTTTCTTCTTACGTCTGTAAATAAAATTATAAATTGTATTGACTTCAATTTAGTTTATGTATACTTATTTCCTTTTCTGATTTAATACATATAGAAAATGATGCATTATCTGATTATAGCTGCAATGCAATGCCAATTGCAGATGGATATATAAAATTAAAATATTTATGTGTACAAAAAAATCCTTTTCTCAAACTTCTTGATGCATCTGAAGGCAAGTTAAGTTGATGGTTTTGACACTTGTTCTACCTGGGAGATTATACATAGAGTATAGTTGTACCGTAGCAGTAAGAATATTAATAGGCTTATGATGACGAAATTACACACATAATAGAGCAACTGAATTTGTCAATAAATCTATTTAATCACAATCAGACCAACCTAATAGGAACAGCGATCCCCGCAGCACTCAACTCCCTTCTTTTCTGTAATGCAGCTAAACGACGTGCTTCCTCCAACTGCTTTTCACGAGCCTTCCTCTTTGCTTTTTTACCTTGTGTATTAGCCAAACGGGCACGAGCTTCAGACAGCATTTCAAGTTCTAGTCAACAAAAAAATTATTTATCATATTTGCTTACAGTAACAGATAGTAAAAGGTGCATGCAAATAATAACAGCATTTCTATTTAAAAAAAAAAAAACAATAAAAGCAAAGCTTTCAGTTGCATGGAAACTAATTGAGATTGTGAGAGAACTTGGAAAGTACTGTTAATACTTCTATTATAATTGGTATTTTTTCTCATTTAAATTGTTCATTAATTCAAAGTATGAGCCAGATGTTCTTGTGTGTCTATGCCATTCCTGCACTTTTACTTTGGCCTAATAATAAAGGGTGTCTCAGCGCCGATTTTAAACTTCAAATATTTATTAAAAAAAACAAATTGTATTTGAAATATTTTAATTGCAGTAAATTATAATGTATTGTTGCGAATTTTATGTACGGAATATTACGAATGCACTCTTCAAAGCGGACAAGCGAATTTGCAGAGACACGCCGCAGAACGTCAACTGATATGGCTCTCACTTCTGTCGTTATTTTAGCTTTTAACTGCTCCAAACTCGTAAGAGGGGTACCATAAACTCTTCCTTTGAGATAACCCCATAAAAAAAAGTCAGCTGGAGTTACGTCAGAAGATCTGGGTGGCCACAATATGTCTCCAAAGCGGCTGATGATTTTACCCGGAAACAACGCTTTTAGTGCGTCCATGGAGACCCTAGCTGTGTGGGCTGTGGCCCCATCTTGCTGAAACCACACACTTGACTTGTCAATATTCTCTTCTTGCAGCTGTAGCACAAAAAAATTACAAATCATATCAATATACCGCTCGCTCGTCACGGTAACCGTTGCACCTCGGTCATTCTCGAAGAAAAATGGCCCGATGATTTTCTTCGCCGATATTGCACACCATACAGTAACTTTGGTGCTGTGTAATGCTTTCTGATGTTTTTCTTTTGGATTGCTTGATGACCAGTAACGGCAATTTTGACGATTGACGTACCCTTCGAGGTGAAAATGTGACTCATCACTAAAGTAAACATTGTCGATCCCATTTTCCTCTGAAAAAATCTCTAACATCTTCTGACAGTAAATTTTTCGGTTGTTGTAGTCTTCTGGTTTGATTTTTTGAACTATTTGGATCTTGTAAGGATGTAATTTTAAGTCTAAGGCCAAAATTCGTTGAAGACTTGAATGGTGGAGGCTCAAAGAGGCAGCATGTTTTCTAACTGATCGTCGTGGATGCTCCGCAACCGCAGCGGCGACGCGATCGATGTTTTCAATCGATCGCACAGGTCTACTTCGAGGGCGAATTGAATGATTCAGTAAACATCCTGTTGCTCTAAACTTTTCTACCCACGACTTAATTAACTGAATACTCGAGGCGTCATTTAAACGGCGAATTTCAAAGCGATTACAAAACGATTACAAAACGCTGTGCTTCACTCAACGAAAACTCATTGCAAAAGTACGCCTCTACTGCGTACGCGCGGTGTGCGCCAGACCACTGCAACATGGCGACTAACAAATCCGCACTCGTCACCAACCGAACGCTACCACTCCCCTCCCGCTAGCCCCGCAGGCTCCAGAGAAATTCGTGTTTAAAGTTTAATATCGGCACTGAGACACCCTTTACCTTACAGCATATTTTAAATTATAATCACCTAAGCTCATTTAATTATTATAAATGTGCATTTAAAAGTTTCAAAAGAAAAAGACTTAAAAAGATTGTTATGAGTTAGAGAGTAAACACTGAAAATTATGAAAGTTAAATAGAATCTGATAGAAAAAAAATATTGAAATAAGAAATCTCAAATCCACATGGGATATCCATACCATCTTCATCCATATCCTTAGGATCAGGTCTAGCAGGTTTGGTCTCAGGGTTAGGATCAATTTCTCCAGGTTTTAGTTTCCGGGGATCATCCCCCATATCTTCCCCTTCTTCCTTCTTCTGAGCTTGATCCCTATAAAATAAGGTTATTAAATTGCATCATAAAAAAATTGCTCTTAAATCAACTATCTGAATAGCCAAATGGATATTATTGCTACTTCTTTCTAACTCCAACTACAGATTAGTTAGGTAACTAGTGGCTAGTCAAAGATGAAACTAGCATAATGCTAGTTTTCCTCTTATTAAACTGCCAAATGTCAGACGATTAGACATGTATTGCTTTGTAGACACTGGTTTTATACAAGCTTATATGACCCGTGTTTAACTTACAGTAAATATTCGTATCTTTCCAAACATTGCGCCGCTGTGCGACCAATAATAGGCGCAATCGTTCTCCATTGTGTAGGCATCAACTTGGCCAAATGCAAAAGCTTTTCATCCTCTTCTCGAGACCATTCCGTCTTCTTGATACTTGGGTCGAGCCATTCGTACCACCGAGCTTTGCATTGCTTAGCAGATTTCCGATGAAGCAAAGACGCAATTCGAGACCATTGGTTTTTGCCATATTTCATAACAGCTGCTTTAAGAATTTCATCCTAGAACAATGAGAGATAAGATCAAGAAGAAGCTTCTTAAAGTAATATCGATCATTAAAACAGCACCAACCTCTGTGTTACGCCAAACACCTCCTTTTATCATGATCCGCGGCATGGTGAACGATGATAGTTACTTTCTTGGGTTGAAACTATTATAAATTTGATTAAATGCGTTAATAGGTTATTGTAATGGATAAAATTCACATTCTACAATGAGCAATCGATTACAAACAAACGAAAAGTAAAAATACAATACGACACACAAAAAATGGACGTGACGTGCCGCGAGCGAATGTCAAGTCGAATGCCAAATAAAATGACAGTTAGGGATGCAACGAGAAACCAAACAACCGATATGTATCGATTTATCTATGACCAAAAATATCGGTATATAAAATTCTTTTGGAATAAATGATATCGATATCAAAAAACTAACATAAAAGATGAAATCGAACGAGAAAATGTGTATGACTTGTTCAATTTTTAACATCCAATGGCATCTTTACATATAAAGTTACATTAGCAACGTGTAATATTATTTCGCAACCCATTTTATGCTTTGGAATTTGTAGTAATTTTTTATTAGTAAAATTTATAACTTATTTCAAAATAAAGTGTTATTCCCAAACTAACCGCAATCTATTTAAAGTGGCAATAAAACAATATCCTACTGTGATAAGGAGGATCCCTTCTGAATGTCTTTCTTTAAAAGTTACACAGAAGAAATGATAAGATCATGGAATATTTTGTCTACACCAAATGTCACGTTTCTCAGGTCGTATGAGTGTACGGGAGAAATGTGACATTAGGGCGTAAACAAAATGCTCTTGAGTTCGTCATGCTACGCGTACAAAACCCAACATTACATAAATTTGGAACAAAATTAGTAGCCAGACAATAGCTGCCATGCCACCAATTAATGGACGATTTATTTAAAATTAATCAATAAATATCGTTATAACGGCTTTGTGAAGCATAATATCGATATCGACTGTAACAGATATATAATGATCTCGATATATTGATATTTTACTTCTTCTTCTATTAATAGCTTATCTGCGCGTTTCGCACAATTCTAGCAATTTCACGTGTAAAGCTATTACACCGTAGAAACATTTATAAAAAAAATGTTAAACGATAGTTTAGCGATTCTGAAACAAAACACAACGCATTTAATTTTGTTATTAAATATAATTTTAATTAGTATGCTTGAAGTTTTTTTATGACATTTACGAGCCGGGGTATATCGTTTGAAAAGACATCATATAAAGAGTGCTGAAGTTTGGGGTATTCAAATAACACATGTTCGACTGATCCTTCATTCATACCGCATTACCACAAAAGAAGGGGGTCAGCAGCTCTATTTAGAGGGCATTAATAGGGAAGGACTTCATTGCCCCTAGATTAAATTTCGTTAATTTTGTCTAATGCAAATACATCGCAAGGGTCAAGAGGGAAGGAACCATGATTAATTATGGTTACTTCCCTATACATTATGGGGTTATATAGTGATTTTTGGGTACCTGGGTGTGCCACGAAATACCAGACAGCGTACGAAGAACATTGACACCTTTTCCTGCCTTATTGGTAACATTATTGAAGTGAGCCTTGCCAGATAGCTTGGAATCCTAAATCATACTTAGGAATTTAACAGAGTCTTTTATTTCTATGGCAGAATTTTGAAATTTTATAATAGAAGTAGGGACATTTCATTTGGTGAAGATAATTGTTCGGTTCTTTATGCAACGAACAGCAATAATTATATTTATGCAAGTAAGTACTTTATACCTTACATTTAAAATATTAATTCAGTACGAAAAACGCTACCATTTACGCAACTCGTGCTCAATAACCAGAAATACCATTTTCGTAAAATAATTTATTCAAGCTATTGTGATAATAATAATAGTTAATTTTACCATTTATTACGTTTTATATGTAGTCATTATTATACGATTTTATAGACATTTTCGACTTCTTATTTATATCTAACGCAAAACGAGACTAACCACTAACCGCCGAGTGGAAAGAAACCTTTTCAATAATAGCACTACACTTTGGTAGGGAGATTGTTAACCCGTGTTTTTTCAAACATTCCCCGAGGTGATTCAGAGCAGACTTCATACGCGATGTAGCTTCCGATATGGATTTTACTCGTACGTATAATTATTTGCATATTGAAGAGTGTCGCAAAAGGAATTTAAAAATACGATAAAGTGGTAATCCCGTACATTATACGGTAAATTTTGAATAAGGTATAGTTTTTCTGAAGTAAGGGCTTGTAGAGTTAGGGTGTGTAGAGTTAGAATCTTGGTTATACGAGAACACTGTCAAAATGTTAACACTTTTATACGTGAGTCATAGGATCTCGGCTTGGCAATGTTTTTGGCGAAATGGGACTTGAACCCATGACCTTTCGCAATCATATCTCAGAGTGCCAGGGACAAAGTAGAGTTTTGAAGCATTTTTCATTAGGAATATTTTTCAGTATAGCATTATAAATGCAAAATTGATCAAAAATAATAATATACATTTATTCTTTGGACTTCTTTCGATAGTAGGTGTAGATATATTTTAATAGGGAATATGCACATTTTTGGAAAATGTTTTTATATGATAATTTACATCGATATATAACTGTAAAAATACCCGGCACCGAAAAACTAAAATTTTGTAACATTAATTATTGATGAAAATAAGTAATAGCTACGACGGTTTAAACACCGGATTTTTTGACGCGTTCGTCATGACGTCAAAGTATACGACTAGAGATATGACATTTTAAATAAATATGGATTTTGAGTGATTGATTATTATTCTATTACCCAAGTCGATTAATAACTAATCGATTTTTTAAAGTATAATAGACTTTTTTAATAAATCATATAATTTACCAAATCGGTGAAATAAAAATAAAAGCCTAAAACATTATTTAAATTGTAATCAGTTGTTAATTTTGCGACATAATACATTGATGTTATTGCATCGATGTTAACTTTTTGTAACAACGACATCCTATACGTGTACATTTTCGTCACATCCGCTCTGACAAGTAGCATATTTTAAAGTTACTGCATTTATTTTGCACTTTTTAATAATTATTTTCAAGACGAAAGCGAACTAATGTTGAAAAGTTTTTAGATAGACTTTATTCTAAAGTAATAACGACTGTTATAAAATATATTTAACCCTTTTTTGAATAAGACGCATATTCCCTATTTTTAAAAATAGAATTCGCAGTTACACGATCGGTATCGATATTTTTTTGCTGTGATAAAATGTTTATCCAATATATTGTGCATCCTTAGTTGACAACAGCCATTGACTTGACTTGACTGACAGCGTGCTGACAGCAAGCAAATGGCGTTTCATCCGTTCAAACAGGCACTCCCAGTTTTATAATATTATCTACACTTGCAATAGATAATTTATAATAAACTAAATTATTGTTAGATTTAAGTCAGAGAGTGACTCATCAATATGGAACATTTTTGTTAAATACTCAAGCTTATAGTGCATTGGTATGTATTACAGCTTGCCTTTACTGTTAATGTATAAATTGTCTTTACTGTATATTATTTTTCATTCTTGGTTTGATACTGTAATTGAGTTTTTATTTTTATACATGACGGATTCGTGAGTATAGGAATATAATTACCAACGCGTAATTTCTCACGTTAATAAACCCGACGCGGAAATTGATATCCGTCATCCACCAGGATATCGTACTTTACTTAGCTTGTACTAACTAGACTATTTTACTTTTTAGGAAATGTCTACAATGTCGCGTTCTGTGCATATCAGCCAGCAGAAGCTGGCTGAAAAGCTGATTATTTTAAATGATCGTGGTATTGGAATGCTAACAAGAATTTATAATATCAAAAAAGCTTGCGGAGATGCTAAATCTAAGCCAGCATTCCTTTCAGACAAAGCATTGGAATCATCAATAAAACATATTGTTAGAAGATTTCCAAACATTGATGTCAAAGGACTTCAGGCCATCACAAACATAAAAAATGAAATCATTAAATCTTTGTCTTTGTACTATTATACATTTGTCGATTTATTGGATTTCAAAGATAATGTTTGTGAGCTTTTGAATATTATGGATGCTTGTCAAGTGACTCTGGATTTGACACTAAATTTTGAATTAACTAAGAACTACCTTGATCTGGTCACAACTTATGTGTCTTTGATGATATTGCTATCAAGAGTTGAAGATCGCAAAGCTGTGTTAGGTCTTTTTAATGCAGCTCATGAAATGGTTCATAATCAAATTGACTCAAGCTTTCCACGTTTAGGGCAACTGATAGTTGATTATGATGCACCACTTAAAAAACTCACAGAAGAATTCATACCACATCAAAAAATCTTATCTGGTGCATTGAATTCTCTCTGGCATGTGTACCCTGCTAGAAATCTCACTGCTGAACATTGGCGATCTGAACAGAAACTAAGTTTGGTCAGCAACCCTGCACAGTTACCTAAACCTTCTGAAACCAACACAATGTCATGTGAATACATTTCACTAGAAAGTCTTGAGAGCTGGATTATTTTTGGCTTTGCAATTTGTCATCAAATGTTGCAACAAGAGCATGCAAATAAAATGTGGGTCAGTGCTTTGGAGTCAAGATGGGTAGTTGCATTGTTTCGTGATGAAGTTATATTTATACACAGTTATATACAAGGCTTTTTTGATGGAATTAAAGGATATGGTAAAAGAATATCAGAAGTTAAAGATTGTTATCATCATGCTGTTCAAAAAGCAGGGTACAAGCACAGAGAAAGAAGAAAATTCTTAAGGACTGCATTGAAAGAATTAGGACTCATTCTTTCAGACCAACCAGGATTGATGGGTCCTAAAGCATTGTTGGTTTTCATTGGTCTGTGTTATGCAAGAGATGAAGTTTTCTGGCTTTTAAGACATAATGACAATCCGCCACAGAAAGTGAAAGGTAAATCAGCAGAGGACTTGGTTGATAGACAGCTTCCAGAACTTTTGTTCCACATGGAAGAGCTAAGAGCACTAGTCCGAAAGTACAGCCAAGTAATGCAAAGATACTATGTGCAATATTTATCAGGCTATGATGCTGTGGCCTTAAATTTGATGATTCAAAATTTACAAGTGTGCCCTGAAGATGAAAGTATTATACTTTCATCATTGTGTAACACAGCAGCCAATTTGAGTGTTAAGCAAGTTGAAGACAATGAACTGTTTGATTTCAGAGCTTTCAGACTAGACTGGTTCCGATTACAAGCATACACTTCTGTTGCTAAGACACCTCTTAATCTTGTTGATCAAAGAGAATTGGCACAGTATATAGACAAAATGGTTTTTCATACTAAGATGGTGGATAATCTTGATGAAATAATGGTGGAAACCTCAGATCTGTCTCTATTTTGTTTTTACAGCAAAATATTTGAAAATCAATTTCACATGTGCCTAGAGTTTCCTGCACAGAACCGCTATATTATTGCATTTCCACTTATATGTAGTCACTTCCAAAACTGTACTCATGAGCTTTGTCCAGAAGAGAGGCACCACATAAGAGAAAGAAGCCTCTCTGTTGTTAATATTTACTTGGAAGAAATGGCAAAAGAAGCCAAAAATATTATCACAACCATCTGTGATGAACAATGTACCATGAGTGATAAACTGCTTCCTAAACATTGTGCACAAACTATTGCACACTTGGCAAACAGGAAGAAGAAAGATAAAAACAAGAAGAATACAATTGATTTTGTAAAGCCAGGAGCTGAAAGTTACAGAAAAACCAGAGAAGAATTAACAACAATGGACAAACTCCATATGGCTTTAACAGAGCTCTGTTTTGCTATTAACTACTGTTCTACTGTGAATGTTTGGGAATATACCTTTGCCCCTCGTGAATATTTACATCAGCACCTAGAGACAAGATTCTCTAAAGCATTGGTGGGTATGGTAATGTTTAATCAAGATACTAGTGAAATTGCCAAACCTTCTGAACTCCTAGTGAGTGTCCGGGCCTACATGAATGTATTGCAAAGTGTTGAAAATTATGTCCACATTGATATCACAAGGGTTTTCAACAATTGTTTATTGCAACAGACTCAAAACATTGATAGTTATGGTGAAAAAACTATTGCATCACTTTACACTCAATGGTACTCTGAAATATTACTAAGAAGAGTGAGCGCTGGAAGTATTTGTTTTTCTATGAACCAGAAAGCATTTGTTAGTCTCACAGCAGAAGGAGCAATTCCTTTCAATGCCGAAGAATACTCAGATATAAACGAACTACGAGCCCTTGCGGAATTGATAGGCCCATATGGTATGAAGTCATTGAGTGAAACTCTTATGTGGCACATTGCAAGTCAAGTGCAGGAATTGAAAAAATTAGTAGTACAAAACAAAGAGGTATTGCAGATGTTAAGAACAAACTTTGACAAACCTGAAATTATGAAAGAACAATTCAAAAGATTACAGCAGGTTGACAATGTCCTTCAAAGAATGACAATAATCGGAGTGATTTTAAGTTTTCGTCAGATAGCCCAGGAATCACTTCTTGATGTTTTAGAGCGCCGAATACCATTTTTGATAAGTTCAATCAAAGATTTTCAACAGCAACTTCCAAGTGGAGATCCAATGCGGGTAATTTCAGAGATGTGTTCAGCGGCTGGATTGCCTTGCAAAGTAGACCCAACATTGGCTTCAGCATTAAGGCAACATAAAGCTGAATTGGAAGAAGAAGAGCATCTGATAGTGTGCCTACTGATGGTATTTGTAGCTGTGTCACTTCCAAGGCTAGCACGCAGCGAAGGATCATTTTATAGGCCATCTTTAGAAGGTCATGCAAATAACATACACTGCATAGCACCAGCTATTAATCATATATTTGGTGCGCTTTTCACAATATGTGGCCAGGGTGACATTGAAGATCGCATGAAAGAATTTTTGGCGTTAGCTTCGTCATCGTTACTACGCCTTGGCCAGGAGACTGACAAAGAAGCAATTAAAAATAGAGAATCTGTATATTTGCTTCTAGATCTAATAGTTCAAGAATCCCCATTCCTCACAATGGATTTATTAGAATCTTGCTTCCCTTATGTGTTAATACGTAATGCTTATCATGAAGTTTACAAGCAGGAACAGATGCTACTGCATTCATAATCATAACACTACATATTTATGTCAATGACTATTTGTCTTTGAATGAATTTTATGATGCTTGTTTTAGTTGTGCTATTTGTTTATTCCGAAATTCCATTTTAGAAATAAGGTTACTAATATTTTAGTATATGTAGTAATGTATTTGAGATTATTGAAGCTATACATTTTTATTTAAAACTTGTTAAGGCACACCATTTATGCACAGTTTTCTTTTCTAAAAAAAATATGAGTAGTTTTTTAATGAGACTGGTAGAATATTCCATTGAAAATTTAAAATCTTACTACATATAAAACTAATACTAACAATATGTAATGTAGATACTATTTCCAAACATACCTATTTAGAAATTAGATTGTCTGGAATACACGGGTCAACACGAATTTTGAGTCTGAGTTCTGTACCTCTGATTTTGATTACTTATGCCTAACTAATTAAAGAAAAAATATTTTTATCTAATAAAGTTTGCTTTTGTAGTTACTAAAACGAAATTTTAATTTTTATGAAAAAGCTCTATTTTTTAATTTCAGTTATATGTAAAAGGAAAACAGTTTTGAATTCACATATTTTTATTGACTTTAATTATACAAGACGGCATAAATAAACCCACAAATACAAAAAAGAATACAAAAAAAAACTTTAAAAATGAACAGATTTGGTATTTCTTTTGTGTAAGTTGGAACTTTCTCGTATGAGCCCCCAAATGTAGTCACCCATCATGTTTTCATTATATTGGCCTTGATAACGCTTTTCAAAGTTCATTACATCTTGGTGGAAACGTTCCCCTTGCTCTTCTGAATATGCACCTAAGTTGTCTTTAAATTTGTCCAAATGAGCATGTAGCATGTGGACTTTCAAAGACATTCTGCAACCCATAACTTTGAAGTTGTGAAGCATATCAGTAATAAGCTCCGTGTAATTCGCTGCCTTTCTGTTGCCAAGAAAGCCATGAATCACTGCTTTAAGGCTGAGCCACGCTTGTTTTTCGTGGGTACTGAGGAGCTGTAGGAATTGTTCACTGGCCATTATTTTTTTTATTTGTGGACCGATGAAAATACCAGCTTTAATTTTAGCCTCTGACAATTTCGGGAAAAATGATTTTAAATATTGAAAGGCCTCAGAGTCTTGACGCAGAGCCTTTACGAACTGCTTCATCAGACCTAATTTAATGTGCAATGGAGGCATTAAAATATGGTCGGGCTTCACAATTGGTTCATTTTTGACATTATGTTGTCCTATTTGAAACTCGCTCCGTTGTGTCCATGAGTGCTGCTGGTAGTGAAGTGCATCGGCTCTACTGTCCCATAAGCAAATGTAACACGGATATTTAGTGTACCCGCCTTGCATTCCCATCAGAAATCCAACCATTTTGAAATCCCCTATCACTGGCCATGCGTACTCTTCATATTTTAAAACTTGAAGCACCATTTTAATGCTCTCGTAATTTTCTTTTAGCATTACAGAATGAGCAAGGGGAAGAGATGGAAATTTATTTCCATTGTGAAGAAGAACTGCCTTTAAGCTTCTTGTAGAGCTGTCGATGAAAAGACGCCATTCAGAAGAAATGCAAGGGATTCCGATTGCTTCAAACAAACCTTTCACATCATTGCAATAACAAAGTCCGTCTTCTTTTGTAAAAAATCCAGAAAATGTTTTATGACGTTTTCTTTGGTCACTTATTTTAACATCGTTCTTGAGCAAATTCCACTGTTTTAGTCGTGAAGCTAATATTTCTGCTTTAAGTTTAGGTAGATTTAAATCTCTTACTAAGTCATCAAACTCTTCTGAATTAATAAGATGTGGTTCAACAGACGGTGATGTGATCACGAACTCGCTGTCTCCGCTATTACTAGATATTTGTGATAGCGGTAACTGTTCTTGTGCCTTCTGCTTTGGGCTCGAAGGCACAGGGAAATTGTCACTGTGGGGTACTGGAGCAGACGTTGATGGTAGGTTTGGGTATTCAATTTTTTTGGCATTTTTACCAGCGCGACGCTTACTTGGATTTACTACACAAAAATAGCAATCATGGATATGGTCAGTTGGTTCCCTCCATATTCTTGGTACTGCAAACTTCATACTTTTTTTTTCACCTCGGTACCAGGCTGGAAAAAAAATTACATTATTCAATTACGAATGATACATTTAATGTATGTGTCAGCATAGGTATAGTTATATATATAAATTTTAATGAAAAGTATGATGTATTTTCTTACCCTCTAAATTGTTTTTGCAGTTACTACATGAGAAATGAGGTGCCCATACTTTATCTTGACTTCGTACGGGTAAATTAAAATAAGCTTCATATGCTTCACAAAGTCTCGTATTTGACGACAAACAAATTTTTTTGGCTCTCACTTTAATGAATTCGCCGCAAATATAACAAAAAGAGTCCACGGGATTTTTGCACTTTTTGGAAGACATTTTAGGCCTCACGACACATAAAATACGTTATTCCTTTGCAAAGCGCACGCGCACACTGCCGTTGACAGTTTGTCACTCCCCCTTCACACCCACAGCCCCCCCTACCCCTCTCCTGTATCTTATATGCAACGGCTCCTAAAAAAAACTGCAAAAACACTATAATATTCGTTTTACATTGTGTAAAGGTACAAAAGCAAACTTTATTTATTATAACTGGAGTTTCTGCTTTTTTTTCGATGTATACAATCAGAAAATATTCACTAAATAACAGAATCAAAGAAAAATATTTTTTTTGTTGACTTGTGATATTGTTTATGCATTTTTAGATTTTTCTTGTTACAAAATGAAATACCAATAACTTTTGGAACTTTTAGTGGGTACAAATATAATCTCGTCCTGACATTTTTACTTGCTATTACTAAAATAATCTGCATAAAAGCATGTAATATTAAATATGATGACAAATTCATTTTATACTGTCATTACTCAAGTATACTTCGCAAAGAATTATGATTCATGTATGACTTTACCATCTTGATCTTGTATAATTTTATAGTTATTTCTTATTAATGTTCTTTTTTTATGAAATTTTAATAAAATTATGTACCTAAGATTTTTGTTTATAAGAGTTTATGTATTCCCAATAATTATAATTTAATGAGTTATACGTAATCCATGACTAACAGAATGTCTTATTCTTATCGTTATTCCACTATAGGATTTTTTAGACTTAGCAAACATCTTCTCCAAACCATGTAATATTTGTTTGTAGACATACTTGTGCAGAGACAGTTTGTAGCAAAGAAAAAAATATTTAAGACCGTTGCTACAATTTGTGGTTGATAAATAAATACTAAAAGTATACCTACCATTTAAATACAAACATATATATTCAATTTTTATTGAAATCAAACAGCTTTCAATTTAGAATTAATGAAATAAAAATTCTCCTAGGCAAATGTAAATGTAAAGGCTAAACAGTCTAAACCAAATAACGTTCTTTTTTTTTTAAATTAAAGTTGGGCACTTGCAAACACTACTTTAGTGTAATATTTTTTTTTATGTATAACATCTCAATATGCTGTTCAATATACCGTGGAAATAAAATTATAATAATATTACATATATGTATATTTCACGAAGTCGTGTACCTTGTGTTAAACTCAAAACAAGCCCACCTATATCGAGAAAAAATCAATTGCCTTAAGTACATTGTTGTAAGTTTATGATTAAAAAATATTAATATATTTATTTATAATACATTTTTTATTCAAGCTAATATGTAGTAGAAAGTTTTTCTTTACGATAATGTTTAAGTGTACTATGTAGTAGAATTAATAATATGGTACTTTGGGGTAATATCCAGAGTAGGGAAATTCTGAAAATGAGGAATTACCACCAAATCAGGCATTGTGTTTTATTAACTGTTGATAAAGTTGACAAATAAAAAAATAGATGGAAATACTTCAAATTAGATAGAACAAACAAATTGCTTGTTTAATGTCCCTTTCGGAATTTCCCCCCATTTGTGATTATCCCAAAGCTCTTTATTGAATATAATAGGTACTATGGGACTGTTTTATAGATACTTCCAAACCAATAATATATTACAAATTCGCAGCTTCTAAGTTGAACCAAAATGGCGATCTTCCGCGCAAGTACAGGTCAGCGGTATACTGCGTTGCTATAGCTACGTGGTGTGTCTCACCCCCGCGCCTCGATTGAGACCCAAAAATGTCCTGTGCATTCGCCATTAGTTCAACTTAGTTGTCGCTTAATATGGATATCTTTAAAAAGGTTGTTTACATTGTCTTTTAAATTAACATTTAATTAAAAGCTCATTGCTGTATAATCAACTGATGTCATAATTCGGTTAGTCAGATACCAAACACTGCCGAAGTGGACCTGATTTAAAAAATAATGACACTTTGCCCTTATAACGACTTGTAAATTTATTTAAAATCCCATACAATTTTCGAACATTATAAGATCATTGAAAAACGTAATAGATTTTAAAGGGTCTCATCTCATTTCTATTTAGTTTTAATGACGTTTCAGACCCTTTACAGGTTCCGTGTTCACATAAGACTAAGGTTTTGATTGTCTTTTTAATTAAGAGTAAAGCTTACCTTCAAAACAATGTTATTGGACACATTGAATTTGTCAATAAAACTGAATACAAATTCGATGAAACCGTTAAAAGTAGAAGAAATCAACGTAGTTTTATTTAGGTATATTTTTTTTTAATTAAACCTTATGCCTGGTAGATGATGCTAAGGATTTGTATCTAGGCAGATCAGAATGTGTCGACACGCATTTTTGAATTTGGAGTCCATGAAGCTTTGTGTATAATTAAAACCACAATGTAAAGTTAGAAATTTATACAATATATATTTTTATGATGAAAAAATAACTCTTATTGTTTTACTTTATTTTACATTTTAAGATGGCAACGAATAGCTACATTTATGTATAGTGATTGATTATAAAAATGTCGTTATATGGTCGTGTAAGCATCACATCAAGTTATAACTAAATTTAAAGTTTCCTAAATCGATTTTTGAATATAACTCTCAAC